ACAGATCGCAGATATGAGCTTCTGGGCTCAGCATTAAAATGACTGTGAGGAGTTTGGCCTGTTGGGAGGGGCTCAGGGTAGACCCACGTCCTCCACACTGGAAGGGGGAGGGGGTAAGGGGACCAGGATACATCCAGGTGCCTGTTTAGTTGCTGGACATTTGGAACTTTATGAAATGAAAAGGCCATCAGACGATGTCTGAATCGTGTTCTCTCGCCAGTTTCAAACAGTTAGTGTCAGAAACTGACCGACGACTGCGTTACGTGTCACATCCGTCACATCCACTCACTGAGATTGAAGTCATGTTTTTCTCCTTTGAGTCATTCTGTGTGCTGATTGGGTCAAGAAAGGGACTTCCTGCTTTTATGTCAGAGCTCCTGCTGTCGTTTCTATGTGTGAAGCTCCACCCGCTCCTCTGGTCAGCTGCGGTGCTACGATGTCTTTGCTGGTTAGATTGAAGTTTGACTTGATGTAGCAGAAGCTGTTTCTCAGCTCTTTTAAAAGCAGCAGTGGTTGTTTTGTTTCCTTTGGCGTGTGCGTGATGTTTTTGTGTGGGTGTAGCTTCAGGAGCTTCAGGTTTCTGACTGTTTTATAGATTTTGACTTAAACTCGACAGACTGCACGAGTCGACTCTGTTAGCTGCTTTAACGCCGCACGCACATATCAGGCTCTGCACGCCACCTTAGCCCGCACACACGCTACAGGCCTTTACACACACACACACACACACACACACACACACACACACACACACACACACACACACACACACACACACACACACACACAACAAAGGCACTCACTCTCAGAGCAGATAGTAATCAGTCCTGACAGATGTGATTTGTCCCTCCTGCTCGCAGTGATGAGTGTTTCTCAGAGCAGCAGCCAATCAGGAGATGTGACTGACAGATAACAGCTGCTCAGCTTCAGCCAATCAGCCCTGTTTTCTTTAACAAAATGACACAATCGAGGAAAAGTGACACCAGAGCCGAGCTGTCAGAGATGCTCTGCAGCCTCAGCTTCCCCACGTGCACGTGAGTGCACATGACGTCAGCCGTTCTTCAGCCTGCCAAAGCCTGCGCGATGTGCCCTTATCTCGTCCACTCACCATTAATGATTGGACGTCGTATTCTTACCTTCTGCGTGATTATTAGCAGAGTTTCCTGTAGCACACACGTCTGCGCGACGCTGTGAGACACAGTTTACTTGTTGCTGTTTCCTGTGCAACATTTCACACCCGCAGCTTTTAACAGAAGACCTCTGATGTGAAACATGTTGCAAAAGCAGCGACGGGTCGCTGTTGACCTGGTGGATGGTGAAAGCAGAAAACAGGAGAAACTCAATGTTGTGGTTGGAACGTGCACATCTATTAGATTGAAACGCTGAGCTTTCTGTGTGAAAGCTCACAGATGCTGATGCCTGACACTGTTACAGCTGCTCGTCTCCTTCTTTGCTTTTTCACTTTGTGCGTGGCTCACATACACGATTGCGTGCCGACACCTCCCAGGCAGTGACACGCAACCTAAATAATTGTTCTGAATTCCAGACATTCCTGGTATGGCTGCATACACACACACACACACACACACACACACACACACACACACACACACACACACACACACAGACCCGTAGATTGTTCCAGGCTAAGATAAACACTTGCCTCACGCTCTGCTCTCCTTGCTTCACTGACTGTAGATCATAAATAATAAACAGTAATGACACTTTAACTCGGTTTCTGTTAAAGTCGAGCTGCTCTACTCCATGTTTTAATTCTGGACTTGACTAGAGTAGCTTTGCATGAATCAAAGGTCAGAAATAATCCTTCTTTATCTAAAAGAGGGGCTTTGGTGCAGCTCCTCTAAGGCTACCCACCCTTTTCAGACAACTCGTGTTCTGATTGGCTGATGGTGGGGGCTGGTAATAAATCCCAAGTAAAGGACATGAAATCAGTCAAATGTGAAAAAACGTCCAACCAGAATCAGCTGATTTATTTAATTCAGTAACTTGAATATATTCAATGAAGTCATGAAAAATGTTTTGTATGAATATTTTCATTAAGACGTGCAGGAGATTCATTTTTCAGGGCGGAGCTTGTATTTGTGTTATTCTGTCCATAACCTGCATGAAAATACCCCAATAAAACAACACAGGCCAGTTTGTGAACTCAGGTCTGAACGTCTCAAGCTGAGCACTTGAACTGTCGCTGAGCAACGTAACCCTGCTCTGTCACTGATTTTACTGATCAAAATAAGCTCCCTGTGCCGTACTGAGTAAAATCTGACTGTAGACAGAGACCATAAACTCATCAGAAAACAGTTTGAGCAGAGGAGTCGCCCCCTGCTGGACACTACAAAGGTCTTTAATATGAGCTGCAGCTCCTTTGGGACCAGTAACAGCTGAAGAAGCAGCAGTTCAGCTCTGGAGTGGAGCTGCTCTGCATCCCTGCGTCACACCTGCAGTCATGACCTCATGGCTGTAGGTGAGGGCTGGAACGTCTCAGTACACACACGCCCACCTCTCCATCTCACACACCACCTTCCCATCGCTCCTACTCCCAGGGCAGAAATCCCACCCAAAGGGAGGAACTGGCTGGTTTACAGAAGTCTGCCATAAGCCCGCCTCCTCGGGGGACTTCTGTTACTTCCAGGCTGACAAACTGTTTTTTTCTAGCACCACCTCACCCTCACTGTCCTCTTCCTGCAGACCTCGTTCTTACAGAACGGCATCCTCCAGGTGTTTGGACACAGACACCGTCTGCAGGTGGGACTGGAGACCTGGGTGAAGTCCCATAACCTCCACTGTTCATGTTTATTCCTGCTGTTCTTTCTCTGTTGTAGTTGATGAAAATGTAATCTGTGTGTGTCTGTGTGTGTGTAGCTGGGCTCTCCTCAGTCTGTGCTTCCAGGGGACCTCCAGCGTTGCCTGTCCTACTCTCTAATCAGCAGACTGTCCCCCAGCTGGAACAAAGTCGGTCTCTTCCTCGTCTCAGGTGCGACACGTGTGGAACAACTTGATTTGTTCTTGTTTAATTTGGGCGAGTGCAGTCTCGTTTGATAAGGTTGCATCTCTAATGGGGCTTTGAGAGAATGAACTGTCCCACATCAGGTTCATTGTCCAGGTTGCACCAACATGGTGTAGTTCTGGTTCTGGCCCCTTCTGATTTGATCCATTTCAGTCACAGTGTTCACTTATCACTCGTCATGACAGCGAGATAATCTTGACGTGATTATCGGTGTTGACACCTCCCAATGCAAACAGGCCCAGGTCTCCTGCAGAGCCGGGAAAACGAGCCGTTATTTGTACAACCTGGCCTCAATGTATTCGCTGCTGTCACTCAGCACGTTTGCAGCCCAAGGCTGAAGTGGCACAAACGTTCACCTTCACGAGTCTGAATAAAACAAAGAGTTTGAAGTCAGAGAGAAATGATGGAGCGCACAGATCTGACTGAAGCAAAAGCAGCATGTTGTAACAGCTGCTGAATAACACGTGTTAGTCTTTGCTCATCACCACCTGAGACTGAACCGTACTGCTGTGGTTCAACTCATCAAATATCTGCCATGTGTTAGTGTGATAGAGGCGAGCAAAGTGTGATCCTTTTGTTTCCTGTCAAACTGCAGCTCGCACACATGAACGCGTCAGAGTCCGTGCAGTGACGAGCTCTGTCCTCTCTGTTTGTTTCCAGGAAAAGACTTCCTGACTGAGAGCGGGAGGCTCAACGCTGTCAGTAAGTTTCACCCTTTACCTCCTCCCAGTGACCTGCACACAGTGACACATTAAACATTACTCTGTGTGTGTGTGTGTGTGTTAGGCGTGGAGCTGAGTGTCACTGAGGCCCACATGTGTTTCAGCATTGAGGCCAGCGCTGTCCGACTGCCCCTGACCACCGTAAGACAACAAGAACACCTTTATGTAAATGTCGTGAGTAACGTGGCGAGCTGAACAGACCGAGGTTTGCTGCCTCTGTGGCTTTTATAAAAACCACTGAACGTTTTAACTTGGCCCTCACTGCTGCGATTTAAACTCACACTTCAACTTAGTTTGAGTTAAAGCTTATTAAAGAAGAATAAAATGCTCAGGTCAAGCCTTCCTTCACAGAAGTGCTGTTAAGGAGGAAAAATGAGACTGAAGCAGGATGTTTGTGTTTCAGCTGGGGGACTTTGACCTGCCCCCGCTGGTGCTCCAGAGGTTATGCAGTGACCGTGACTTCGTCGTCGACCTGGCCTCCACCGCAGGAGCCGTGTGGTGTCACGTCCTGCCCAGGTACGATGACGCCACCTGCTGGACAAACTCAGGCAGCACCGAACAGCCGCTGCTCATCACTGTAAAGATTTGGATGAAATGTGACCTCATTAAACTCCTGCTCTTCAAAGATAGTATCACAGAACCGTGCACAGACTTTTATATCATCGTTTTTGGGTCAAACCAGAGGGTAAGGGAACATTTGTGAAGACATCCTTCATGTCATCAGAGAGGTCGTCACGCTGGTGAGCGTCTCCACGTCCTCAGCTCGTACCTCCTCGCCTCCATCAGCTAATGAGATGCTTTCACACCGTCCAACCGACAGTCTCGCCGCCTGTTTGCAGATCGCTGGTTCTGGAGGCCTTTAGAGCTGTCTCGGTGACGTTAGTGTCAGCTTCTCAGACTGAGGGACGTTCACAGCTGGTCTGACTGACGCCGTACGATCGTTTATCTTTGCAGCAGCTTCTTCTGCCTGCACAGCAGGTTACAGCAGTTTCTGTTTACCGTAGGCGCCACGTGAGATGGCCTCTGATTGGTCTCTCAGAGATTGCCACAACTTTAGAACCAGCTGATGAATGCCGCGCCCTCATTCTGCCCGAACAGCTGAGCTGTCGGAGGATGGACCACCTCTGGGCTCTGGCAGGAGAAGCTGAGGGTGTGAACAGAAAAAACAAATCTTTATAAGCTTGTTTAACAAACAGCAAACCTGTGAGCTGCCGGCTCGCAGCCACGTCATGTTGTGATTGTCCCGAGGTACAGATGAGCTCACAGTGAGACGCAACTTCACTTACATGGAGCGAAATGTGAGTCACATAAACAGGAGAGTGTGTATGTGCAGCAGGTGTAGTGTGGGTGTGTGGTCACACAGCAACGATGAGGTGTCGTGCTCACGGCTTTTACTTTCTAATCACACTCAGATGTAACGTGGGCGTCATTTTAAAGGCCGTGATTACCTGATCAGTGTGTGCTGTTAGTGTCACGGTCGTTCTCTTCACCTGTGGGTGCTGTAACGTTAGTGGGTGTTATCCTGGCTGTGAGCAGCAGGTGGAGCTGCAGCTCTGTGTGATCACAGCTGGGCTCTGACGGCTGCAGTGTTCATTGACAGGCTGGTTTGTGTCTCTGTGCTAGCATGAAGAAAGGTCAGGTCATCTTCATCAGCCGCCAGCTGCCCAAGCATGGACCATTCAGGAGCTACAGAGACCTGCAGAAGCACTGGAACCTCATGGTACACACACACACACACACACACACACACACACACACACACACACACACACACGGTCTCAGCCTCTTCTTAAACCCAGGAGCTGAGTGGACAGATCTCCTGTGGAGCACATGAGGCTGGCATGGCAACGTGACTCAGACTGAATGTGAGGTTACTCTGAGGCAGGAAGCAGAAAAGCTTTAGAAACACGGAGGGAAGTGACAGTAGTGCTGAAAGGTGCACAGACCGCTCTGCTGGAGTCAGAGTTCTGCTCACATAAAGACAACGCTCCAAAGAAATTTGGGACTTCTGAATAAATTATTGTGTTGCAGACGAGCACATTATAAATGGTCTGGCTATAAACCAAAGTAGATAAAGCATTAAATGACAGATATTTATGTCCACCTTACCCCGCACATCCTCCTCATCACACCAACCCTCTGCATGTGCTCCTTTGCTCAGTTCCAGTTTTTGCGGGTTTTCTGCAGTGAGTCTGAGACTGTTTATTACAGTCCACAGTCTGAGTATGAGCTCTCCAACCTTTAACTTCATACTGGGAATATTTACAGGGTTCATAAAGGTGGGTCCAAGTTCTTTTTGATGATGTTTCTCAGCAGTGTTTGAGCCATCACAGTTCCATCAGGAGATTTTTAAATAAAGTTAAAAACCCAACTAAATCAGCTTTACTACGACACTGCAAGCGTCCCAGTCTAAATGCAAACGCAGGTTTTTGTTCCTTGACCAGCTCTGAGCAACAGTATCAGTACGATGGGATATATCACAGTTTGAATAAACTGCAGGAGCTTCATGTCTGATGCTGAGGAGCAGACACGAAGTTTGATCTGTTTCTGTGTTTTCCAGTATGGCTACAGACTGCCTGAGCTGGCAGAGGATGAGGTGCTGTACTGCAGCGTCTACTTCAGGCTGCTGGGAGAGATACTCTTCAGGTATCCTCAGAGCCGCTTTAAACCACATTTAAATCAGTGTTGTTACAGTGTTTGTCAGATGGCAGGTAGAGATGAACAGTACGATATACTCAGAGTTACATGCAGGAGTAAAGATCAGCCTCGTGTTTTACTACCAACAAGGACAGAGCAGCAGCATGAACCATCGCTGCTCTGCAGTGAGAAGGAAAATCTCAAATCTGATAAAGTTTTCACCTCAGAGTTCCTTTCACCTCCGTCCTGAGCAGCTACCCTCTGAGCTGCATCCGCCTGCAGCCGGTGCAGCGTTGTCCTCGGGTCGACCTGCAGGGGGCGCTGGGCGGCTTCCTGTCTGACGTCAGGCACACACTGAAGACTGTGTGTGGCTTCCCTGCACATCTGAGCAGACAGCCCTGTTACCGTGCAGTCCGCCTGAGCAGCGCTGGATCTTTACAGGTACACACACACACACACTGTGTATAGATGTGTGTTACGAGGATAATCTCACTGTGCTGCATACGTTTCATGGCTCTGTCGTGTGGCGGTCAGCCGTGAGCTGTTCAGCTTGTAGGTGCAGCACTTTCTGGCCCTGCTGCATCCACACTGACGTCAGTAATAACATTTGTAAGCTACATCTGGTCACCTGCTTTTCAGTGGAAATATCACAACCCAGTGCATGTAGGCACTGGGTGTAGCACAGACCAACCATGAGCATGGCGTGGTTGGTGGGCTCCTCGGAGGGTTTGACTCCTGCTGGGATTTTCCTGTGAACCATGTCTGGGGTTTACCGAGGATGGTATGAAAATGAGGAACTATCCAGTGAGCTCTGGTTCTCTGGGAGAAATCAGAGGCCACATTAGAATGGCAGCAGTAACTCGAGTAACTAGTCATTACAACCAAAGTATACAGGAGAGTATCTGGAGAAATCCAGATGTAGAACCTGGAAGCAGATGGGCCACAGCAGCAGAAGACCACACCGGATACTCACTCCAGAAGACCGATGAGTCTCGATTTCTGCTCCAAAGTTCAGATGGCGGGGTCAACATCTGGTGTTAACTAGAGATGGCACGATGCCACTTTTTTATGTCCGATACGATACATGTGGATATCTGCTGATACCGATATGAATCCGATATAGTGTTTTTAACCAATAAAACTGTTTTTTAATATCTTGCTGCTATTCTGTTAAACCTGTATGTAAAATACACTGCTCCCAAAGTATTTATAATAATACTGATCAATCTAATAAACTTAAACCTGCACCATCCTCCCTATTCTGCTAGTTTAAAGAGCACTTAGCAGAAATATTAGACAACCAAACTAATGGGGTTGCCAACTCCCAGCAAAATAAAAAAGGGAACCCCCCCCAGCCTCCGCCTCGTGATGCTTAATCGACATGATCAACTTTAATTTAATGCACATGTAAAAAAAAATGCACAGAAATCAATTATTTTTCTACAATAATTAAATAGATTCAACCTCTTTCTTCTACAGAACTGCACAGATGGTACCTTCCCAAAGGAAAAAGTACTATAGCTTACTAGGGTATATTAGGCTTAACAGTTACTATATACAGTGATGGACTTCTATACATTTTACATCAGATTCAGATAATTATTTATTAAAAGCTCGACATTTTAAATGAGAATAAGAAAGAAAAGTATGTCTTTGTGCCCCCTTTTCCCTGTTCATGCCCTATCGGCCCCCCTGGCTAAACTTTGCTCCGCCCCTGCACAGTTACAGCCGTCAGCTGTAGAAAAAGATCCTGGTGTAGAAAGTAATATTAAATACATTCTAACAACAGCTGATCAAGCTTAAACGTGCTGCTGTTGTTCAGCCGCTGGTTTCCTCTTTCTGGTGCAAAGTGGGCCAAAAACAAACAAGAGAGACGGACTCACGACAGAAAAGCCGATCAGCTGATCACTGATCAGTTTCATGATTGAAGTAGCAGCAGGAGAGGGAGAATGAGAGACAGACGCTCCATATATCACTTGTTAAGCTTAACGCTGGAATGCTTTACAAACATTCAGAGATGGACTTACACACTTGCTTTACTTCTCTCTGGGATAACTTCCTCGGAGATGAAATGCAGGGTTGGTAGCGAGGCTACAAATGCTCCACCAGACCGCCGACAGGTCCCGCACACCACAGCCGCTCTATCATGTGACGCATACTTCTCAGACGTGCTACGGTTATGAGCTGAGTTACGCCATGTCACAAGTTTTGTGAGGTGCTTTCGTAATATTTCGTAATATATTCGGATTACATTTTTTATTTCTCTCCAATATCCGATCCAGTAATTTAGGTCAGTATCGGACCGACACGTAATATCGGATCGGTCCATCTCTAGTGTAAACCCCATGAAAGCATGGACTCATCCTGCCTTTATCAGCAGTTCATCCTCCTGATGGTGTGCGGGATACGTTTTGAGCACACTTTGGGACCCTTGGTACCATCTGAGCATCATTTAAACCCCACAGCTAACCTGAGTGTTGCTGCTCATCATGTGAACCATCTTGTGATGCTTCTTCCATCAGGATAATGCTCCATGTGTCAGAGCTCAGAGCATCTCAAACGTGAACCTGAGCTCACTGCCCTCAGACGGTCTCCACAGATCTCAGTCCTGTCACAGCTCTGGGATGTGATGGAATTCACATTCTCATGGATGCGGGCGGTAAATCTGCACCAACATGATGCTGTCGAGTCAGCGTGGACCAAAAGCTCTGAGGAACGTTTCCAGCTCCTTGTTAAATCTGAGCCACGAGGACTTGAAGCAGCTCGGACAGAAAAAGGAGGTCCAACCTGGTGTTCCAAACAGAGTATACCTCACAGATCTTTCTTTCATGGCCTGGCGAGCAGGTGTGAGTGTTGGTGTGGGCAAAGCAGTGATTTCTGAGCGCTCCCACCTCGTAAACTCCACAGGCAGTTTTATGAGCGCTGAGGAGAAAGAGGAGGAGAACAGCGTCTCTCCGGATCCTGCGAATAAATTTTCATGATACAGATGTCAGAGAGAAGGAGAAAGAAAAGTCCAGAGGTCTCATTTAATATAAGAAATGTGCTTTCACTCAGCAGCCATAGAAAGGTTCGTCTTTGTGTCCCTGAACAAAGAAATGATGTATTTTCTTTGCAGAGGAAGAAGATAACTCGACCTGTTAACCACCGTTCCAAGGCCTTGTTGTAACGAAGCAGTTAGAAAGTGTTTCATCATCTTTTTAAAAGACTTTCTTTAAATAAAAATCAACATTTTTTAATCCTCCCCGAAAAACCTTTCATGCACAGGAGTACAACAGGTAGCATATCTGCCTTTAAGCTTGAATAAATGTGTTTTCTGCACAGCTCTTTCCTTTCACACAAGTCAATAGATGAAGGGATAAAGTGCAATAAAGCAGGTGGGATTAAAGTTATTTCTCATTTTGTCCTGCAGATGATTCTTATTCACAGGCTGCAGCTGTGCGAGCGATCGATTCAGCGCTCACAGGGTGAACTGAAATATTTATGCTGCTCCTTATTTCCATGTATAAGACCACTGATCCCATCTGTAGGCTGAGCCGAGGCTGAAACTGACGCTCAAAAGGATCGTTTATTCCCCTTTAGAAAGGTTTCTCCTGACCAGCACCCACCCATCCCTTCA